ATGGGCGTGCTCGACGAGGTGTCGCTCGCCGCTGGCCTCGGCGAGGAGCTGGGCGGCATGGCGCTCTCGGACCTGCAGGCGGCGACGCAGACCCGGGTGAGCATCCAGCTCGGAGGGCGCCAGCCGTACACCTATTCCTCAGTCGGGCATGTCCTTCTACAGGGGGAATATTCAAAAATATTGAAGAAATACTCAGATGACGATATTTAAATAGCTTTTGACTATTGTTGAGCATTTTTGGGGGCTATTTTGAACTGTTCGTCTAAAGCCCCCTTGTATGGGGGACACGCCCGACCTAAACCTATTCGCCTGGCATCGCTCGGGCGCGTGCGTCTTTCTCGGCGGGGACTGTCGGAAGCTTCCTGGGTCATCGCGCAGAGAATATACACGCACGAAGCCGAAGCATGCACGGGGAATGGACGTCCGGGCGATGGCGAGTTCCCCGGTCCCGACCTTGGCCCATGCTGGTTGGAAAGACCCCCCAGTCTTGGTCCCAGGAAGTCGGCCTGGCCAGGGAGGCCCAGGGTCGGCCGGGCCAGGAAGGGCCTGGGCGTGCGGCAGGTTCGTGCCGTGTCGACCGGCGGCGATCCCGCCGCCAGCGTGCAACGTTGAACGCCGCCCCCGACCACCCAGCATCAGTGGACCTAACACGGTGTTTTGACGATTCCGTGGGCCGTTGTCGTTTCGCTATCGCTTTGCATCCAGGGCGAAGTCGAGACAAAACGAGGGAGGACGAAAGCAAAACGAAAACTGCACACACACACTCTTTAGGTTGAGCCCTGCCCAGCACCTGTCGATGTCGAGCGACCTGACGTTGCGGCAGGAGCAGAGCGTGCGAGGCGGAACGGTATCCCCGCGGTGTCAGCAGCCAGCGCCGACATCGGCACGGCACGGGCCTGCCGTGCGCACCCGCCCCCGCCCGGTTCTCGGCTTGCCCCTCCACGCGCCCGCTCCCCTGGGAGAAAGATTTCTGCGCGCGCTGAACTCCCAGGCCCCCTGGGGTCATGGAAAAATCACGACGGGGGGGGGTGCGCTTTTCTCGGCCTCTGGGGGCCCTTCCCGGGAGTCGTGACCGTCAGCAAATGATTCAGGATGAAAAACCGGTCCCAGGGAATGGGTCTGGACCTTTGGGGGTCGCGTCATGGAAAAATTACGGCGTCGGGGGTCTGGGCTTCTTTCGTGCACATCAATTTCTGAGGACTGCGGCCCATTCCGCCCACCCCCCCAGCGACGCGCTCCGGCGCGACGGTGGCAGTTCGCTCGTTCGTTCGTGGCCCCACGGGGATTTCCGCCGGAGGCCCCGCTGGCAGCGTCCGCCGCACCTTCACCCAATTCGGTACGCCCCTCACGGGTTTCGCGTCACGAATGTCGTGTCGTGGCCACCCGGGGAGCTCCGCCGACGGCCCCCGCGGCAGCGTCCGTCGGGCGTGCGGCCGGCGCCCTCCGACCAGCGGCACCTCTACCACCGAGGCTCGGCCGCGCGCAGAGGGGAGGAGGAGGAGGAGGAGGAGGAGGAGGAGGAGGAGGAGGAGGAGGAGGAGGAGGAGGAGGAGGAGGGGGTAGGGGTAGGGAAAGGCTTCTTAGAGGCGCCCCGGCTCCTCAGAAGGCGCGGGCTTGTCTCCTGGCTGTAAGGCCCGCGCCTTTGAGCAGCCTCCCTGAGAATCCTCCCCCCTGCCCCTGCTCCCCTCCCTCCTCCTCCTCCCCTCCTCCTCCTCCTCCTCCTCCTCCTCCTCCTCCGTCCTCATTCTCCTCCTGCTCCTCGTCCCCTCCCCCACCACCTCCTCATTCTCCTCCTGCTCTCGCCGCCTCCTCCTCCTCACACCACCCTCCGCTCCTCCTCCTCCTCCCACCTCCCCCCTCCCCCTCCCCCTCCCCTCTGCGCGCCGCCAAGAGGCATCGGCGGCTCCACGAGCACGGGGCAGCTCGGCCTGCTGCTGCGCCTGGTCAGGGCTCGCCTGAGCCCCGCGGTCGCGGCGCGCCTGAAGGGGTGCGCCGCGGGCGCGGCGGGCGCCGTAGCTCGAGCGCGGGGCCGGCTGGCAGAGGACATCTCGGGGTCTCGTGGGGGTGCGGCTTTCGGACGGGGCCATTTGGGGCGCCTGCCTACTTTCTCGAAGAAGAAAAATCGGCTCGCAAGGCTCGCAAGGACCCCCAGCCTTCTGAGAAGTTGCCGCAGCCGTCCGTCCCCGAAGACACAGGAAGCTTCTCAGAAGGCGTGAGCAGAAGAAGAAAACCACATAAGCAAAAACTGTTGGCGCTCCGCGCGGATTTCTTGGATCCGCGCTGGCCCCCCCCCGGCGGCGCCTCCGGCGCCGCCCTTGGCGCGCTCCGCGCGCCAGTTGTTTCTGTTGATGCAGCTCCAAAGCTAATGTTTATGCAGTTGTTTCTTCTTCTACACTTCAAGTGTCGACGGGGGTCCCCGTTCCCTGATTTCCAGGGGGCGGGCGGAGTCCCGGAGTGCCAACATGCTGTCAGCGCCTTCGTATTCGGTGTTCCTATTTTCTATCCGCTTTTTGCGACAGCTGAATATGCGCCGATCATGAGCCCTGTATGGGCCTGGCCAGGACCAGCGCATGAGCAGATGCCCTCTTCTATCTGTTTCGGCTATGCGTAGGAGTGGCATTTCGCTGGGGTGCCTCTGGTGCGGGCACACTGGGGGTCCCCGATAGCAGCGGCCTGCGCGCTCTGGTTCGGCCTCCCTGGCCCCTAGAGGTCGCGCGCTAAAGTTCACTCTCGCCTGGGGTCATCGGTCGGGGCTAGGACGAGGTTAAATCCGTTCCAGAGCGTTCCGGGCAAGCCCGAGCAAAACACAATTAGTTTCCCACTATTCGGTGGGTTATTGAAGGCCTAGCGCAGTTAGGGGACCAACCCAGGTAGAGGCTCACATGTTAAAATCGGAGCGAGCCTCCTCTGACTCCACCTCTGCCCCTCCTTACGTGCCCCCGAGCGTCCGACAGCGTGATCAGGGCCCGCACTTTCTGCTGGGGCAGCGGGCCCGCCTGCTCACCTGCGGCGGTGTCGACATCCCTGTGCTTCGGCCGCCAGTCGAGGAGCCAAAAGCGGCCTGGACAGAACCTCTCGGAGTCCTCGCGGACTTCCTGGATCGGCGCTGGGCCCCCCTGGCGGAGCCTCCAGCGCCGATCCAGGGCGCCCGCGCGGAGTTCCGACAGGTTCTGTTGATGCCGTTGCTTGTTCCTTCAGCCGGGGCCAGAGGCGGTGGCGCTGCTCGCGGCGGAGAGGTGCGGCCGGCTCCACGCTCGGGGCTTTGCCGCCAGGCCCGCCGGTTTCACCTTCGTGCTCGTCGGAGACCTACCACCGGACGAGGAGCTCGGCCGGCTGTTGGGCAGGCACCTTGGCGCGCTGCACGGAGGGCAGACCGATTCTTGGCTGTCGGCGGGTACGTTCGTACCCTCGGCGCTGCCCGCGGACTTTGCCACGGGCGTCGTGCGAGAGACAATCTTCAGCAGCACCGCGGAGAAGGCAACCGTACTCTTGATTTTTCGCGCGTGCGTGCCGGTGGAGGACGCTGGGCGAGCGCACGTAGAGGCACTGGTCGAAGTCCAGGTCTCGTGCCGCTGCGCAGAGAACCGGCTGCTTGAGAGCATGCGGCGGGAAGCGGGCGGCGTGTATTCGGTATCCGTTGGTTTTGGCCGGACTTCTTTGAGCCCCCATGGTCTTATCACCATCCAGATGCCTTCGGCTCATGCCGCCCGCCACTGAGACCGGGTTGCGGATTGGGGGCGCAATGGGAGTTGTCGGAGCCCGAAAGGCAGTACTTGCCATGCTCTTGGAGTCCCTCTACAAGAGACTCTCAGGAGCAAGGTTGGGAACACGACGGCTTCCTGAGGTAGAGGGCGGATTCCCGTCCGTGTTCCCGGGGCTGTTCGCAGTTCCCATTTGGTGCCTGTCTTAGGGCCGCTTTCGGGGCTTCTCGGATGCCTGTGGGCGCCACGCGATTCTGCCCTCCTCAGCTGGTCTGGTCTCCACAGTCGGGTCGGGCGACAGGGGGCGACAGGAATGGCGAGGGGGGGGGAAATCTGCTGCATGCAGCTGGTCTTAAGTCGGGCACGTCCCTCTACAGGAGGAGTTGACAAAAATAGTTCAAAAATAGTCAGGGGAAGATTTTTTGTTTAATGTTTGTTTTTACTATGTTTTGAGTACCTTTTGCAAATTTACCATTTCTCGTCCAAAATCCGCCAGTAGGGGGACACGCTCGACCCACAGCTGGTCTCGGCCCCACCGCCAGGCGCTGTCCTCGATGCACCTGGTGCCCCCGGCGCCAGGAGGCGCCAGGAGAGCCAGCTGCGTGAGACCCGGGTTTGCCAGGACTCGGGTTCGCCATCGTTTTTTGACGACCGCGCCTCGGATTTTGACGAGGAGGAGTCTCGCGGGATGTCTGCAGCGGGAGGCCTCGTCAAAATGCAGGCTCGGCCTCGTCGTTTTTTTGACGACCTCGTCGGGGATTTCCGAGTCCCCCGTACCCGGGTCTTACGTCTCCCCGACTTTGGTTCTAGGCCTCCTAAACTCTGGGCGGAGAATCGCGCCGCATGGACCGGTCATCGCTGATACGGCTCGATGTGCAGCCCGAGTTGCTTCGCGTCGACGTCGCCGATGCATCGCCGACGTCGACGATGCATTGCCGATGCATCGCCGATGTAGCGGCGATGCGGCGCCATCTTCGGACCCCACTGACGCCGACCCCATCTAGGACGCCTCTATTGGTATCCTGTCGCTTTCGCTCGACGCGATAAAAGCGGCCATGGAGATACCGAAGAGGGCATCAAGGTGAGCCCCCGAGAGACCATCTTGTCAGGGGCAACGTCAGCGGGGGATCATATCGCCCATCATCGCCGATAGGGGCCTGGTAACCCATCCCGCCCAGGAACGCACGGATTCGCTATCGTGCCTGTCGCCGATGTATCGCCGATTCAAGGTCGATGGCTCCCCCTAAGCCGGCCCCCCTATCGTTGCCCTCCATCAATCTTCTACACGTAAGAGTGACCTTTCGCCGGAGTGGCCTTTCGTGCGGGCCCAATGGGGTCCCCCGATCGCCGACTGCGATGCAGTAGTAGCGTCTTGCGCGCTCGTGTCTGATCCCCCCGCGGTCCCCAAAAAGCCGCGCACCAGAGGTCACTCTTGCCCAGGGTCACTCTTGCGTGTACGTAGTCAGGGCGGACTCCCGAGAGGCCATCTTGGAGCGCGTCGGGAGGCCTGGATTCCCAAGCCACGGCTCCGAGGCCTCAGGAACAGCCGTGGGCGGAGGGCCCGTTCAGGGCCCATCTCGATCCGATCGCTCCGAGTTCATATCGGTTCCAGCCAGCCCGATCCGGCTCGATTTCAAGCCATCATCGAGGGCGGCCAAGAGGGGGGTGATGATAGTGAGGGGAGACGTAAGTAAGACTCGAGCACGCCCGAACTCGGGTTTGCCGAGGCTTTCTGACGGCCGCGTCATAGATTTCGACGGTCCTGCTTTCGTGGGATGTCTGCAGCGGGAGCGTGCGTCCATTTTCAGACTGGATGTCGTCCTTTTCATGGTGGCCTCGTCAGGCCAACCTGAGTCCCCCGAACCCGAGTCCTACCGTCTCCACGAATCGGGGAGGGGGGGCTGCCACACTTGGCCTTTCAGTACACCCGTTGGTCCCCCCTCGTCCGTGCGCATGCCTCGGGCCATGATTTGCGAGCGCCCCTCTTGGATTGCCCCTGGGACGATCCGATGCGGCCCGATGCCTGCATGGCGTTGCTGAGCATCCTGGCGCAGCCGGTTCGAATTCAGCTCCGTGTCGATGAAGCCTGGCCCGCTGCACACTTCGACCCGACCAGATTCTCCAATTCGATGCTGGCCGTGGCCCGTGGGGCCGTGGAAGTCCGTTCCAGAGTCTTCGGTCATTGTTTGGCGGGGGGCCACGGAGAGACACCTGGCGGCTCGGAAGGAATGGCACGGCCAGCGGGAGGCCGCTGCCGGGCCCAGGGGCCGCCAAGAGCCGCTTCGGGATGAAAAATTGGTCCCCCGGCAGGGCTCGTTTCGTTTCCTCCGATTCGATTCGATTCGAATTCGATGGCTTCCGATTCCGATTCGATTCGACTTCGGATTGTGATTTGGGTTCCGATTTCTTCTTGGAGTCAAAAACTAGCCCGCCGACTAGCGCCGATTCTACTTTCCCCGATTCGGCTGCCGATTTCCGCAGATCCGATTCATTTCGATCGCCGATCCGACTTATCGATTCGATTCTGGGCTCTCCTGCCCCAGGAAGGGGTCGGGAGCTCTGGGGGTCCACGCCTCGAAGCACGCGAGCCGCCAGATGTCTGGCAGCTCGAGGCAGCTCCGCGTGCCGGATGCACGGTCTGGGTGGCGTATGGCGGGAAGCGGTTCCGAGGAGTTCGGAGGAGAAGAGAACGTCCAGTATTGTTGAACCTTAGCATTACATATAAAGAACTCAAGCGCTATACGGTGGCGGATGACGGGAAGCGTCTTCGAGGAACGAGAAGCGAGCTGGACGTTTTGGCTGAATCCTCCTCATATCAGTAAGAGATCTCTTAACTATAGGGGGTGGCGGATCGCACGGGGCAGAGGCTTAGCGGATTCCTCGGGATGGCGATTTCGCGTGAGACATCCTCACACAAATGAGATCTTCGCGACATCGCGTTTAACAAAAACAAGCGTTTCGCTGGAGACATCCTCGAAAAGTTGATGACTGCGAAATTTCGCCGTCTGTGACAGTTCGCGTTTCGCTCGGGACATCCTCGAAAAGATGAAATGACGATTGAAGTATTTTACTAACTCTTATGTCAATAACTGCGATTTCGCTAGGGACATCCTCAGAAAACGAGCGGCAGCACGGCGGACCAGAACGAAGAGCACGGCAGACAATTTGCATTTCGCTAGGGACATCCTCAACAAAATGAGATGTCCTCAACGTCGTCTTGATATCGTTCTCGAAGTACCTCAAGATGACGAAATGAGAGGCCAAAAAGCACGTCAAGATGGCTGTCAGAACGATTGGGGGACTTCCGAAAATAGCGATTTCGCCAGGGACATCCTCAAAAAGTGAAAACATACACCAGCATAGACTTGAAAACTGCTGTTCTTACATAGTTTTGGCATTGCTTCTGAAAAGGCTTCCAGACGGCCCAAGGCAGCCTTCCAAAAATGTCGATTTCGGTAGGGACATCATCAACAAACTGATGCGTGCGACATCGCATTGTAATGATTTTAGGGGAGCACCAGGAAGCAAAATAAGGCCACAACATGGCCCCAAGAGCGCCACTAAGGTTGCTGAAAATAGTGATTTCGCTAGGGACACGTTAAACAATAAGCAAATCCAACAACATCGTTTTGAAAATTGCTGCTTCAACATCGTCTGGGGATCGCTCCTAAAAAGGCTTCTAGATGGTTTAAGCAAGTCATCTAAAATGACGATTTCGCTAGGGACATCCTGAAAAAAATGAATGCGTGTAACATCGGACTGTAACGGTTTTGTAAGGCATCAAGAAGGCCCCCAAAGGGCCCAAACTTGACCCCCAGGAGCGCCCTCGAGACGATCCAAAATGGTGATTTCGCCTGAGACATCCTTGCAAAAATGAAATGGTCGCAACGTCGAGTTCATCAAAAATGAGCGTTTCGCTTGAGACATCCCTTAAACATGGGAAGCCGCGAATTCGACAGATGTTCAAAAACTAGCGTCTCGCCTGAGACATCCTAACACAAATGATATCTTGGAGTGGCGTTTTAACTACCTCTCGTGTTAAACATCGCGCTCTCGCTGCATACATCCTCAAAAACATCGGGCGGAGCATGGTCGGCGAAAAAAGAGCAAGGCAAAGAATGAGCAGTTCTGCCGTGCTCCTTCGCTCACGGGGTCTATTCTGCAATGCTTGTTGTTTTTTCTGTGCCGTGCTCCTTCGCCCTACGGGCCTATTCTGCCATGCTCCTGGCCATTTTCTGTCACAATCCTTTGTTCTTGGGGATTATGATGCCGTGCTCCTGGTCGTTTTCTGCCGTGTTCCTTAGCTCTTGGGGTATATTTTGCCGTGCTCCTTCGCTTTCGGGGTTTATTCTGCCGTGCTCCTTGTGTGTTTCTTGCATACTCCTTCTTCCGTGGGGCGTAGTATGCTGTATTATTGCATCTATCTTGCCGTGCTCCTTAGCTCTCGCGGTCTATTCTGCCGTGCTCCTGGTCACTGGTTGTGTTCTGCAATGCTCATTCTTTCCTGGCGCCTATTCTGCCGTGCTCCTCAGCTCTTGGGGTCTATTCTGCCGTGCTCCTGTTTTTTTTCTGTCATGCTCCTTCGCTCCTGGAGCCTAATTTGCCGTGCTCCTTCGCTCTTGGGGTCTATTGTGCCGTGCTCTTGGGTTCTATTCTGCCGTGCTCCTCGTGTTTTTTCTGGTTTGCTCCTTCGCTCTTCGGGCCTACTCTGCCGTGCTCCTGGTCTTTTCTGTCGTACTCCTTGGCTCCTCGGGCCTTTTCTGCTGTGTTTCGATCTTTTCTGCCGTCGTCCTTAGCTCTTGGGGCATCTTCTGCCGTGCTCCTGGTATTTGTCTGGCGTCTTTTTCGTTCTTGGGGCTTATTCTTCCGTGCTCCTTAGCTCTTGGGGTCTATTCTGCCGTGCTCCTGGTCTTTTTCTGCCGTGCTCGGCAGCTCTTAGAGTCTATTCTGCCATGCTCCTGGTTTGTTTCCGACGTGCTCCTTCGCTCATGGGGCCTATTCTGCTGTGCTCCTGGTCTTTGTCTGCCGTGCTTCTGCTTTTTTTCTGCCGTGCTCCTTCGCACTTGGGGCAGATTCTGCCGTGTTCCTTGTCTCTTGGGTTCTATTCTGCTGTGCTCCTCGTCTTTTTCTGGTTTGCTCATTCGCTCTTGGGGTCTATTTTCCCGCACTCCTTCAGCTCTCGGGGTCTACTCTGGCGGGCTTCTGTTTTTTTCTGCCGTGCTCCTTCGCTCTTGGGGCCTATTCTGCCGTGCTCCTCGTCTTTTTCTGGTTTGCTCCTTAGCTTTTGGGGTCTATCCTGCCGTGCTCCTGGTCTTTCTCTGCCGTACTCCTTCGCACTTGAGGCATATCCAGCCCTGCTCCTTAGCTCCTGGGGTCTATTCTGCCGTGCTCCTGGTCTTTTTCTGCCGTGCTCCTTCGCTCTTGGGGCCTAATCTGCTGTGCTCCTGGTCTTTTTCTGCCTGCTCCTTAGCTCTTGAGGTATATTCTGCCGTTCTCCTGGTCATTTTCTCCCGTGCTCCTTAGCTTTTGGGGTGTATTCTGCCGTACTCATTTGCTCTTGGGGTCTATTCTGCCGTGTTCCTTGTCTTTCTCTGCCGTGCTCCTTCGCTCTTGGGGCATCTTCTGCCGTGCTCCTGATCTTTTTCTGCCGTGTGCGCCCAGAAGCTCTTCCAAAACGACCACCGCGACGATCCGCACGGCAGATACAGGAACACGGCAGAACATACAGAGCACACAGAGGCACGGCAGAACACAGAAGCACGGCAGAACAGGAGCACGGCAGAACACACAGGAGCACAGGAAAACACACCCCGCACGCACGCCGACATACGTGCCACGGCATACCTGCGCGGCATAACAACAACAGAGCATTTTTCACATGCTTGGTGGACTAAAGCGACGCTTCCCGTTCTTGTCCGGTCAGGTTGTTCAACATGAGCGATTCGTTTGGGGCATCCTCCGACAATGAATGCCGCGAATCTCACATAGTTTCGAAAAGTGGCGGATTTCCTTCGAATGTGACGCCTCGCAGCACGACGCCCTGACTGCCCGGGCACTGGAGCAGCTGCTCCAGCTGCAGCAGGATGTCGGCTACGCGTAAGAGTGACCTTTCGCCGGAGTGACCTGTAGTGCGGGCCCACAGGGGTCCCACCAGCACATGCTGTCGCGCCTGGATGGCTTGCATTTGCGGCGTCGGCGATGCATCGCCGATTCATCGCCGATGCATTTGCGATGCAGCGCGATCCTCCAACCCCATCTGCTCGGACCCCATCTAGGAGGCTTCTACTCTCGCCTAGGGTGACTCCTGCGCGTAGCCGAGGATGGGCTATCCGCCGAGGAGGCCTCGGGCGTCGCCAGCGCGCTCGCGGACACCCACGCCCGCAACATGGCAGGCCCGGCCGCGAGCAGCTACTGGATGTTCTACCTCCTGGACGCCTACAAGGCCGAGCGCCTGCGGCGCGCGAAGGAGGCCTGCGGCTCCGCAGTGGAGCCCGCCTCGCCTGATGCTCACGCGGTCGAAGACGATGCGCGCGCCGCCTCGCGCTGCCGGGCCGACCTCATCGCCGCGGCCGCCACGCCAGAGCGCCTTCGCAGCGCCTTCGGCAGGCACTTCCAGCTGGACAACTATGTGCATCTGGTCCTGCAGCCCGGGCCCGACCTCGGTGCTCGGAGCGGTGCCTGCGAGGCGGCAGCGGGCGCTGCCGCTGGTTGATTACGAAAGCGGCGACCCCCGCGTGTGTGTGTGTGTGTGTGGTGTGTGTGAATGCGTTTGGCGTGTGTCTAAACATGTGTTTGGTGTGTGTCTATGTTTGCGTGTGTGTCTAAATATGTGTGTGTATGTGTGTGTGTGTGTGTGTGTGCGCGTGCGCGCGTGCATGCGTGCGTGTCGGGTGGGTGCGTGCGTGCTTGCGCGTGCGCCTGCGCGTGTGCGTGTGCGGGTACGTGTGCGTGTGCGTGTGCGTGTGCGTGCGCGTGTGCGTGATCGTGTGCGTGTGCCTGTGCCTGTGCCTGTGCATGATCGTGTGCGTTTGCGTGTGCGTGTACGTGTGCGTGTGCGGGTGCGTGATCGGGTGCATGTGCGTGTGCGCGTGCGCGTGCATGTGCGTGTGCCTGTGCGTGTGCCTGTGCGTGTCCGCGTGCGTGTGCGCGTGCGTGTGCGTGCGCGTGCGCGTCTGCGTGTCGGTGTGCGTGTGCGTGTGAGTGCGCGAGCGCGTATGCGTGTGCGTGTCGGTGTGCGTGTGCGTGTATTGCCCTTTTCTGAGCGGGCCCGGCTTCCCGCTCCCTCCTGCCCGCGCCGGGCGTCCCTCCTCTCCCCCGAGCCTTGCGGCCTAATTCACACTCGTATGCCCTACCAATGCTCTTCCGCCAGCGCAGTCACTCTGCCTAGCCGCAGACGTAAGAAGTGCGTCTGCGAGTGCGACTGCGTGTGCGTGTGCGCGGGCGTGTGCGTGTGTGTGTGTGTATGCTTTAGTCATGGTTTGCCTTAGGGTTGGTGCTTGTGCAGTCGGCCCGAGATTCTCAATGGTCTATAATCCAGCACAATGAGTCACGTCGGATCGAGCTTGCGCAGTTTTGATGACACAAGCGCTCGACCCTGCACACACCCCGCCGATTGAGTAATTCGTCACGCTTCGCCTATCCCCGCCAGCCCGTTCAGAATCCTGCCCATGAGAGCTGACAGGAAACGCGACGAAGAGAGACATACAGTGAAGCAGAGCGGGCAACCAGGATGAACAGAGAGATCACTGGGAGCACTGTGGTGGCATTGGAGGGCCTCTTGGGGCCCTCGGGGGGGCGAAGGGAGGAGGAGGAGGAGGAGGAGGAGGAGGAGGAGGAGGAGGAGGAGGAGTCAAACCGCCTCTTGGGGCCCTCGCGGGACGCTCTTGGGGCGCGTTTGGGCGCTCTTGGGGCCTCTTGGCAGTCCTGGCGGGCCTCTTGGGGTCATTCATCTTGCTGGCTATCCTCGGTTTGCCGCCTCCCCCCCCTGTGCCATCATAGTCGCCCTTTGGAGCGCTCTTGGGCCGATCTTGGGGGCTCTTCGGGCTGTTCTGGGGGCCTCTTGGGCCCTACCTCAGAAACGTATCGGTTGCGAAACGGCGGAAGGCACACATCAATTATTGTGTGTAGATGCTTGAAGGATATTGGCCTCTTGGGGGGGGGTCCCGAGGGGGCTCCGAGAGCAGTTGGAACTGTCTGGGAGCGGCATGTGGAGCCTCTTGGAACATGTTGGAAGCCATCGTGAGCCACCTTTGGCTATCTGGAGCCATCTTGGAGGCCATCTTTAAGACTCGGTGGCCCTCTTGGAGCCATTTTGCATCTTGGGCGCTCTAACCCCTCGGTCCCCCCCCCGGCAGTCCCTGGGAAGGGAGGGGGAGGGTGCCCCTCCCCAAAGGGAAGATAGTTTTGGAAGGGGAGAGAGAGAGAGAGAGAGAGAACAAAACATAACTCATTAGACCACACACGCCCAGAGAGCTGGTGCGATTACCTGGTGTGGAAAAAGCCACCTCCTCGACAGGATCCAGGAGAGGTCCGCCTTGGGCTCGGGCGCGCCTAGTGCGCGCCACGGCCTGTGGGCGCTGAGAACATCAGCGAGGCGGTCGGCGGTCAAATCCTCAGCGGAGTCCTCGCGGGCCTCCCGCAGCTTGTTGCGGCGTACTTGGGCGAAGCAGGCCTCGAGTGCCGCGAAAGGGGGTCACGGGCATGGAGCCCGCCGGGGAGGTTGGAGTCGGGGGTCGGGCCACACGCCGCCTGCCGTCGCGGTGAAGTGGCTGGGCAGGCATGCGTCCCAAGCATGTTTCGTCCGAGCGACACCGGATGCGTCCCAAACATCCGGCGCCATGTTGTTCTATCCCACGAGGTGGTTGCCCCCAGAGCTGTGGACTGGTAAGACATGGGTTTGGGAAAAGCGTGCCCCCCTTTGTAGTCATTGTAGTGGCCCCGCCCCTGCTCATGCCCCCCTCCTAGTCGTGGTTCTAGTCGTCCCCTGGCTTTGTCTACCTCTGATTTTCAGAAGCGCAAGAAAAATTAGAAGCATGACGTTCTTATCTACATCTGCCTTCCAGCCCTGTTCTCTTTGACTACTTGCACGCGATGCAAGCCTGCTGTTCATCTAGTTCCAGAGTTGACTGCTGATCTTAGAAACGAGCGTTTCCCTCGAGACAATCACTTGTTTTCCAATGGCGTGGCCGAGTCGGCCTCCTCCAAGTTGGCCCAAGGAGAAGAGGAGGAGAAACAGGAGGAGAAAGGAGGGGAGGAGGGGAGGCAGGAGATTGGAGACTCAAGAGAGCAGGGGGGAGGAGGGACGGCAGGGATGGAGGAGGAGGAGGAGGTCCAAGAAGAGGGAAGTGGAGAACCCCCTCTGAGGCCGAAAGGGGAGGAGGGGGAGAAGGGAGGGGCCCGTGAAGAGACGGAGAAGGAACAATCAAACACGTATGAGGCGAAGTCTTGCACGCGTGACCAGTGCGCCTAGTGTGTTGAGATTGAGCCACGCTTGCCAACGCTGCGATTGAAACAGCCTGCGTACTACTACTACTACTACTACTACTACTACTACTACTACTACTACTACTACTACTACTACTACTACTACTACTACTACTACTGCCCGTAAACGGGGGGGGTCAACTGTTTTTTTTTTTTTTTTGTTTTTTTTTTTTTTTTTTCTTTTTCCTTTTTTTTTTTTTTTTTTTTCTTTGTTTTGCTTTTTTTTTTTTTTTTTTTTTTTTTTTTTCATTTTTTTTTTTTTTTTTTTTTTTTTTTTTTTTTTTTTTTTTTTTTTTTTTTTTTTTTTTTTTTTTCAATTCGGTGCATTTTTCTCGCCCAGACTCATGTCAGATTCAGATTCTTTCGTGGGTGGTGCGGCTGCGGCTGCGGCCCCAGCCGTTGTGGCGGCCACTGGGTCCGATGATTCAGAATTCGTAGGCGGCGCAGCCCATCTCCCAGTTCCAGTCCCAGAGATCCGTGGCAGAGGCCGTCGCATCGCCAGAGTTCCCGATTGCATCGATGGCCCAGAGTTTATCATGGTCGTTGTAGCTGACTCAAGACGAGGTCTGTGGCCCACGCTGTTACCTCGCAGTGAAAGTGATGCAGCCGATGGTTCAATTGTGGGTTTCATTCGTGCTCGTTGGTTGCTGATCACCCGCGCCGAAGCTGAAGAGCAACAGAGTAGAACGTTTCGTGATATGGTATCCTTGTCTTTGGCAGGGCGGTCGGCCGTCGGTTTCGTGGCGTATGCTGCGTCGGACGGGGTCGCGCTCGATGCAGCTCGCACGCCAGTCTCGCAGGTTCCAGCTAGGCAGGCCGACGAAGCACGTGCCGACCGAGGCCTCGAGTTCGACGGATCGTTCGCGACAGTCGGGGAGTGGTTGGCTCTCCAGGATGATGGTCCATTGGTAAGCTGTGTCCAATCGTTCTCGCCCTCGCTCGCCGACGCCCTGGTGCGCAATGCCTATCACATCGCGCACTTGACAGCGATCGGCCAGTCACGGCCCAGGAGACGCGATCTTCTCTGTATCAGGCCGTCGCCGCAGCAGCTTCGCAGGTTTAGAAACCTTCACCGTGCTGCTGACGGCGGCGGCGGCCACGACAGTGGCGACCAGGTGATTGCAATCGAGCCCGACCAGAAGTTGTCGCACACCATATCTTGGTTGAGGCACAGCATGGGGCTCTCAGATGTCAAGAACATCAGAGAATCTTTGAAGTCGGCGGCATCAGCCATTTCCTTGGAACTCGGCCCTGAGGCGACAGAGGTTTTGGAGAACTTCGCGAGCAAGGCCAATCGAGAGGTCGTTCGGAAGGCACGCGTTCGATTCGATGTGTTCGCCATGCGCATGTGGAGAAATTTCATCAGCACCTTTCGCCCTGAGGATATAGATTTGTTTGTGTATGTCGACGGCAGCCCTCAGCACAGGGGGAAAGAGCTCTACGCTTCGACCGTGGACATCTTCGCGCGGCGTGGAGAGAGACTGGAGTACTACAGCCGCCTGTTGCCCGTCATTTCGTTGGGTAGAGATCAGTTAGACACGATCGGGAAGACAGTGGCTTTGTTGCGGCAATTGACGCTGGTGTTTGGGCCGAAGCTCCCGCCGCGCATGTTAGAGCGCATCCGAGGCGTTTTGACTGACAGCGGCGTCGAGCGCAACATTCATATGATAACGAACTTCCCCCCGATTATTATTGGTTCATCAGGGAACCAGTGCCGCGGGGGGTCAGGGCGAATGGGCGCTTGATGCCTCGTGTGATACGGTCTAGCGGGTGGCGTCACGCCTTCGATGTAGTGATCAGGCGTGGTCTATCAATGTTGGACTTCTTCCCTGACTTTTTGACGAAGTTGAAGGCTCTTGTGAAATTTCTCAGGGACAGGAATCTGATGGAAACGCTTGTTCAGGGTTTGCGTGGGCGGGGATTGCCAGCTGTGGCAGAGACTGTCTCTGTATTCACGTTCCCGAGTTTTGCCAAGTGGAGGTGGTCCACGCCCCACCATTGCGTGACGCCCCTGAGCGAGATCCTGGAGACCTTCATCTCCGCGTTCGACCCCGCGTTGTTCCGTGGCATGAGGGACCAGACGTTGTTCGGCACCATTGTGGTGGCTTTGGGTTCAGATCGATGGGCCACGCGAGAATTGTCTTTTGTGAAGTGGTTCACCGCGTGGTTGACTCTTCTTCAGAACTACGTGGGCAGGTGCTTGTGTCATCCAGAAGGACGTACGCATCTGAAAATAACACTTACACTACGTGTCTGAAGTCAGCCCCCTCGCCCCCA